GTGGTTTTATTCGAAATATATTTTCGTGAACAAGTTTTTTATCATGCTTAAATTATCGGAAAAATTGCATCAACGGTCCCTAATTTTTTCTTTTTGCATATTTTACTTGAGTCTTCAATTTGTGCCAACGAAAGTCCCTAATCTTTTTAAAAATATGTATTGGAGGTCCAACATGATGGAAACCATTGATTTGACTATTAGTTGATCAGGAAAACAAAATTTTAACCAAATTAAAAAGAGCAACAGTAGGTGCACTTTCTTCTATTTAGAGCAGCTTATTATTAAGCACGATGAAGCTCGCAATGCAATAAGAATTAAGTAGATGGACCAGGGAATTGATTTCTTTTTGGTTAATCGGAGTCATGTTGGGAAGTTTGCCGAATTTGTGGGGTAAGGTATCTCCAATTAGGAAATGAAATGACAAGCAACTTGTATCCCATGATCCGAAGAGCAACAATTACAATTACAAGTACACTTTCTCGGTTGAGATATGTCGAATATGTCGTGAGGATTTGATATGTCTTCCTCTTAGGGTTACTGCAAGTCAGGGGAATCTTGGACCCCTTGTGATCTGCACCAAAGTGACTAACATCATTGCTTTATTAGACCCATTTAATCATAGGCGCTGCTTTTCGAATGCTGAGCAGTATTGGAAGGCACCTTTTAAGGCTCTACTTTCAAGTAGACTGCTTGTGGAATATATAGTGTTGGACATTAAGACTGATTCTTCTGCAGTCATTGTTGGTGGCTCAAAGTATGTTGTAGTTGATGCTAAAATTGCCTGTGTATTAGATTTAGAAAGAATGATATTATATTCAACGTTAGGACACATCTCGGCCATCTTTTAAACCCCGGTGATTATGTCCTTGGTTATGACCTATATGGTGCGAACAATAACGATATTGAACTAGACAGGTACAAGGGTCTCGTTCTCCCAGAGTTGATATTAATTAAAAAGAGCTATGAAGAGAAACGTCAAAGGAAACAAAACAAACCTCGCTCATGGAAACTCAAATCTCCTCACATGGAAATCGACAATTCTACTAGGGGCAGAGATCACGAGGAAAAGATGAATGCAGAGTATGAACCGTTCAAAAGAGGCTTGGAGGAAAACCCTGAATTGAGGTTCAATATTTCCCTTTATCGAAACAAAGAGTACCAGCCATCAGAAATGGCTTCCGAGATTGGTGGAGAGGATATTCCTTCCATTCCAATAGAAGAATTGCTTGCTAATCTTGACTTAAGTGACAAGGAAATGGAGAATGGTAGCATAAAGGAATGATTTCAATGAATTCTTTAGCGTTAGCATAAATTTTGTTTTTGAAGCAAGAATGCAACATGTACGGAAATATGTCTATAATTTACAAAATAGGCTGGATTTGTGTTAAAAAAAAAAAAAAAAAACCACTTTAAATAAATAAAAAACCATAAAAAATAAATAAATTAAAGTTTTCTCCTTCAAACCACCCCTACCCCATCCCTTTTCCCATAGCCCCCACCACCGCCGATTGACCAACCATAGCCTCCCATCTTCCCCAAAAGCAGAATATGGCAGAGGCTGGAATTGTCCTTTTTGAAGCAGCATTGTTGTGTTGTCCCTTGGCCTAGAAAAGAGCTTTAAAAATATTGATATAGTTTAAAAATGAAAGGCAAATGAAAATGGGACCTCATTAGTGGTGGCAATAGATCGAGTCGAACTGGCTTGACCCATCTACCCATGAGCTCGGCTAGTCAAAATGACGAGCTGAACTCAAGCCCGTTTGTACACGAGCTGAGTGAAAACGGGGCCTAGTGACAATTGGCCGAGCCAGCTATTTACCAATGAGCTCAGCTCGTCCCATGAGCTTGGAACCTAGCTTTTTTAAATGGGGCCTTGCTTTTTTTGATTTTTTTAAACTTTTTTCTTCACATTTTTTACGAGCCCACGAGCTCAGCTAGTGGGCTCGTGAACTTTAGGCTCGTGAGCATGGTTAGTAGGACAAACCCTTGCTCAGTCGAGCTCGTCTCGAAATGAGCTCGAACCGTCCATGGACAGAGCTTTGACGAGCCGACAAGCTACTCAGTCCTTTTGCCACCCTTAGCCTCATTCAGGGCCACATGTTGGGAGAATATCTATGGGATCCTCTGCAACTCCAAGGGAATAAATTGATGAAAAAAACTGTGAAACAAATTCTGTATAAGAATATGGGAACAATTATACGTCATGCAAATGGTGAAGGCGATTCTTCTAAACTTAAGTCTTTGGTGGGGAGAGCCCTTGTTTGAAGTCTCACCTTCCTCAGCGGCACTTCTCGACCACAGGCTTGTAATCGAAGAGCTCGCAATATTCGAGACTCTCCAAGTCTTACCGAAATCGAGTGTGAATTCGAGAAGCTTCCCCCACGGTGTGAAGTAGCAATGCTGGGAAAAAGCACAGAAAATCAAGGATTATGACCAAATCATTCCTTACTCTAAGGTGATTTTGAGTTTCAAGATGCATTTTCCCGATTTGACAAAGAAGTTGGCTAATTTGGGAATGGGTTTTGAAAATTTGAAAGGTAGGTTGATGGCTGAAAATGGATGTGAAGGTGGAAAAAAAGATGATGAGTGCCGGAGGTGGTGGTGTAGAAATGGAGAAGAAGCCAAAGATGGGTTGGGGATAGGGTCGGTGTTGGGTGGGGCAGATTTTTTGTTTTGTTTTGTTTTCATTTTAAATATTAATATTTGCGAAAATGTAAATATACCATTTTACCCTTTTTATTTTGTCAAAATTTTATTTTCTTGGTCAACTAACGGTCAAATGAATAGTTTTCATCCAGTTGGACCTCTGATGCATATTTCTAAAAGATCAGGGACTTTAGCTGACACAAACTGAAGGTTAGGGTAAAGTCTACAAAAAAATTGAAAAGTTAGGGACCATTGTTGCAATTTTCCTAAATTATATTCAAATAACTAGCATTTTACGTACATAAAATCTGACAACATTTCGACTTACCAAAATCGAATATGAAATGTAGAAACATGAAATGCATGAATATGAATTCTGTCGAGACAATAATTCGACTATTTTTCTTTGAGACGATGATGCTTTGTACGAATACTAATGATTTTTCAGTGTTCGTCTCCCAAGATAAAATGATCACATCTCACAATAGTAGCACTCCAAATTCGTTTTGAACTCTCTTTATATAAAACTCGATTCAAAATAAATGCAAATTTTTATAAAATTATCATGCATCAATACGATAATGTAAGGATGAAATGAATGATTAATAAAATCCAAAAATTGAGATCTTTATATAATAATTCAAAAGTTGTGCCTCAAAAGACTCAACTCAATATGAAATATGATTGGCACTCCATAGAACTTATTAATTCATTAGAATATTGGGGATTTGGACATCAAATATCCGTTGATTTGCTAGAAATATCGAATAATTGAAAGAATTGAGAAATGGTCTAATGAGATTTTAAATAGTAACAAAACATGAAAAGTAACTTTAAAAACTTAAACAAACATTTATATCTTAGGTGGTTCGATTATCTGACACGTTAATATTGCGAATTCAATAAAACAAACTCTAACGATGATCACATCTTAGCCTCCGCATGGAAACTTACATAATTTAGATTTATATGGAAATGATTTATTAATAAGTAGATAGTATTTGAAGGTCCATTAAAATTTTTGGTTGAAAATAAAATTAGACTACAAATGACTTATAAATTTTTCCAAACGAAAGCCTAGTTATTTGAATATAGAGGTGTAAAGTGAGTTGTCAATTCAGGCCTAACATAGCTAGAGCCATATTTTGCATGTTGATGAGTTGACACCGACGAGTCAAACATGATACTAAGGGAATCAAATCGATGACACAAAAATACTTACAAACCGAACTATTGATATTTTGAGGAGATGCACTATATGTACAGACAAAAAAACACCAAAATTTATACAGATACACACATAGGGGTGGGTCCCATTTTTTTAAAAATAATATTTAACTCACATGGGCCCACCCCATGTGAGTATTCTGTATAAATTCTGGTAAATGATTTTCTATACATTCAGAAGATTTCTATTTAGAATTTGAAAACTACATAATAATGGATATTATTGAGTCACAAAACTTAGAATATAAAATTCTTATAGATTATTTGTAGAATTAAATATAATAAAAAATAGGAAGCTCGTAAATATTAGAATAAATAATAAAATTCAGAAAAAAAATAATTTAGAAATTGATGAAAGTTCATCATTTCACTTTTCAAGACCCTACTTCAATCTTTATAATTCCTTGAGCAGTTTGTTAGTATCAGTTTAATCCCTTTAGCGG